TGATTCTTGTTATATTCCTTGTACAAGCTTTGGAGAAAAGCAACTTGTTTATTAATAGTAGTAGTTGCGGAGTGGCGCTTCAGATTTGAGTATTAGGGACAGGTTAAAGGCCTGTGTTATTCCTATTCTAGGAAGCTTTTGTAGGTATCTAAGCTCCTTTTGAATGAGTGATTGAAGATTCGGACACTTCTTTGCATAGCAGGTTCTAATAATTGATTATTTGGTGTGAGAGAATGTATACCACTGATATTTTTATCGTTCTTGGCTTTTGTAGCCACCTGCCATGTTATTTGATGTATCCTGATTACGTAATAATCAATAGAGAGTATTTTCTTCCTGTAGGTAAACCTCGTCCTATTGATGGAGGAAACCAAACTAGTAGTGAATGGGTCTCTATTTGGATAGCGTGGCAATCACAATGTAGCATAGAATTACCTGTTCAAATACAAAGATTTTTAACCTTCAATATAATATAATCGGAAATATAATGCCTTTGCAAAATAAGGAAGTGAATATATAACTGAGCTCTATTGTTTTCACATATACTTCGTTGTTTGGGGTCAACTCTTAACCAGTCAACTTAAGCTGTTACCAGTATACATGAAGTCCAGTATCATTTCTTAGTATTCTATACATCGAAGTCAGATCATGTGTTTCCAGTACTATTATACAATTGCATAGTTCATCTTAACCTTTGAAAAGACATTAATAGCTCAATAAGTATGTGACATAGTGTCTTTTTTAGCTTCATGATAACTCCACTGTTTTTATATGGAATTATGACCTTCAGCACAAACGCGTGTATTAGTTTCATGACTTCGTATTTCTGCGCTTATGCACCTTGTGTGTACTTGTACGTGTTTGTCTATCACTCATTATTTTATCCAATGTCTGTCTCTCTATCATATTATCCACTGTCTATTTTCAGTTACATTTACGCTTGTAACGAGTAGTATAGCAAGTTTACATATTCGCTCTGTCCGGTTCGCTTCTCTGCTTCGATTCACTTATTGTCTGTCTGCAGGAACGAGTGTACGAGATTTACGTAAACGAAATACAGTCTCGTATTAGAATTACTTTTTCCTGGTGTTCTCTTATGCGAATCAGGTCGATATAAACATGATATATTTTTAAGGACTTGGCGTAGTGCCTCAAATCCTTTTTAAATAAACGGAATATACCCACTGAGACATAAAATAAAATAAGATTGCTTCAGCGAAGTGTCCTCTCATCTGCGACCTTATTTTCAAAGCTGTACAATTGCAAACATATATACCTATTTTTCCAGGTTCATAAATAATTGCAATGGTAGTGATAATAAAATTGTGTTAAACATGGTAACAGTGAGGTATAATAAACAAAATTATTGATCAATAATTTTTATATCATTTAGCGCTTAAGTATTCTTCATGAAAGTAAATAGGAAAATAATAACTAGGAATGAGTTGCTCTGCATGACAAGATAAAATGTTGAAAATGCGGTGAGATGTAATCAGGAGTATCATAGAGAGAGAGAGAAATGAACCAATTGGGGTAGAAGGTCTATGGAGAAGATGGAAGGAGAAGCAGATGGCAGTAAAGGAGAAAAAGAGTGACGAAGAAAGAATATTCTGAGACAATAAGACCATGATAGAAAAAGGGGTTTTGCACATTTCTTCCGGACACACAATTCTGGTTTCCCCAGATGTATAGCTATTACCTCGGCATTGTTGATATTGTGCAATGTAACTGCTTTTGGCAGCTTTCTGCTCACTTTGTAGATGATATACAGCGCGGAGTCTTCTTTGGTCGAGTGAACTGTGTTCGCAATGTTTTCGAGCATTCTGTTTCTTATTGAGCCATTTTCGCCTCCTTTTAGGCACGTCGGGTGCTGTTCTTAAATTCTTTTGTGTAAAGGAGGCATCAGACGACCTATATACCCGGCTACATATAAGCAGGTTAATTAACACGTACATATAGTTGTTCAGATGAAATAATTTATTCTTAAAATTATTGGTCAACAAAACTCGACTGAAGAACACTAGTCACAACGTTAATGAGAAGAAAGATCTCTGAAAAGAGAGAAATTCTCATTATCAGGTTGTTTGAAGCTCTATCATCCGTTCAATTGGTGTTCATTTAAAACATTTCCTTTTCAACTAAGGTTATGAATGCTTTAGGCAGTTTTTGCTTTTTATTCTTGTCAACAAATATAGAAAAATACTACAGAAAGACTACAAATCCTTTGTATTCACTTAAGAAGTGATATTTTTAGGCTTTGCTCTAAAGGGAACGCTCTTCGGAGCGACGTTACGAACAGTGTTCTCCAGCCGATCTTTGTTCATCAGTAATCTTCAGAACAAATTGTCTCATCTGACATATCAGGAATTAGAACGAAATGGCCGAAGCCGTTTGGAATAGGTGTAACAGACAAACTAACGAAGCCACTTTATACAGTCACACGCAAAACGAAGGACGAAATAAAATAAAAAATAAAAAATTCATAATCGCTTAAGCGAATATCAAGTAGCGGTTAAACGCCATGACGTATATCCGCTTTTTATCAATCCATAAAGAAAATTATGGACACATTGTACTGGGAAAATGTTAAGATCTCGAATAGAGGGAGTTCTAGAAGCATTAGGGGATTTTAGGATGCTTGGTGCTCAGATCATTCAGCAATCAACAAACACATTGAAATCGATTTAGTCTGTCAATCAATCCGACAAATCACGGACAGATGTAGGACCACAAATAAAATCAACGGGAGATACAGTCAAAATGAAGAAGTAAACAATGGTAGGTTAAAGGTTAACAATAACCAATCAACATAGAGGTCTACGGGACAAGTTGTGATCCATATGTGGAAAAATTCGAACACTTCATTTCAATCTGAATTTTGTGCGGATGATGTCGTTCAGAATAACGATGGAAGCTCCACGACCGGATCACCTAGTCCATAAAACAAAACTCCACTAAACTCATCCACCTGAGCTACAAATCTTCACCAACTGTTTCATATCTTTTTCAGATACCTTGGTCCCTGTTCAAGGGCATCGGTACTCCATTGCTAATAAACACAGAAGTTCGTCACGTTTAAGCCTGTTTAGTTCTATTCATAATCACTTACACTATTTGTTTTAGGTGTACAACCGATCCCTTGGGTTAGTCTTCTATAACCAACCTGGTGACTGCGATGGACAGATGGACAATCATCCTCGATCGCAAGGGGAATTTCGATATCGTTTACCTTGACTTCTCAAAAGCTTTTGATTAGGTTAACCACTTGTGTCTTACCAATAAGCTTAAACAACTAGGTATCAAACCATCTCCAATTGATTGGCTCATTTCATATATGAAAAATCGACATTTTAAGGTCAGGGTTAACTTCAATTTATCTCAGGCTGCGGAATGTCCTAGTGGGGTCCTACAGGGCTCAGTACTGGGACCTCTTCTCTTCTTGATTTATATAAATAATCTTCCTCAACAGGTAACTTCGAACCTATTAGTTTTTGCAGATGACGTAAAACTTTGTAGAGAGGTACGAAACCAGGACGATATACAGGCTGTTCAGGAGGATCTAACTCGACTTCAAAGTCGGGCAGACGATAACGGACTTATTTTTAACACTTCAAAGTGTAAAGTAGTCCATCTGCGACATGTTGCAGACGACAGTTACAACTTAGGAAACTCCTCTCTAGTAGTATCCCAAGTCGAAAATGATTTAGGAGTCCTGGTGCCCTACGATTTGAAGTCTTACGCTAACTGTGACCAAAATGCCTTTCGAGCAATCTTTGCATTGCTAGCATTGAAGCGCGTTTTTGGCCAGTTTGACGGAAGAACTTTCCATACAATCTTCAATAGTTTCATTCGTCCTCATCTAGAGTACGGAAATATAGTATTTCCTCCCTCACTCCAAAAGGATAAGGACACTGGAGCGTATCCAACAGCAACCCACGAAATCAGTTCGTGGATTCAAATTCAAACCTTACGAAGAGCACCTCCAAAAACTTAACCTTTACCCATTAGAGCATAGACGTCTTAGAGGTGACCTTCTGATGGCTTACAGTATCCTTAACACTTCCGGACATCCTCTTAAACACCTACTTAAGCTTAGTTCCAATACCAACCTAAGGGGTAACACCCAGAAATTGGAGACACAACATGGCAGAATGGACTGTAGACAAAACTTCTACTCCTTAAGAGTTGTCAAATGCCGGAATTCGCTGCTGACTGAACTGGTCCAAGCGACTTTTCAGGAGTCCTTTAAGTTGCAACTTGATATGTTCTTAAGGTCCAAGGATAGAATCATACTATGATTTACCAATTTCTCTTCCTATTTTATTGTTAACATACCTAGGTTCCTACCTGGAGGTTTTGGTGATCCTCTGCTACTAGACACGGAAGCCTGTTAAGCGAAAGCTTCTTCCATTCCGTCCACAACAATTTGAACCTTTGTACATTTTGGCGCACACACCTCATAGCGCTACATTCCGCAATCTGGTAGGTCGTTCTTTTAGGCCTGTTATTTTCACAAGTGATTCTATGTGTTTTTAATCCCTATTTTATCTGCTTGGACATAGGAATTAGTCATTTGTGATGTTTGGTGGGATTGGGTAATTGTTGTTGAAAAATAGTTGGCAACGTGCTGTTTAATCAGTACGTTGCTTTATGTTTTATTATCTACCATATTCAGTAGGATACTTTGTTACTATCCCATTAACAAAGCCATTTTGTCCCACAACTCAATACATGCACTGGATGATTATTTGCGAAACGTAACTGACAACAATAGTGGATTATTACACGCTTCTATTGGTTGGTTGCGGAGTATCAGGTTGGATTTAATCTACAATTATAATTGTAGATTAAATAATTATAATTATTTGCCGTAACATACTGAAAATGTGAACCCATCAATTTTCATCCTATAACTTGATTAGTATTCTACCTTCTAATGTCCACTGATCGACTTAGAATACGCAGATGACATAGTCCTGTTTGGTGAAGACGCTGACAAAATGCAGAGTCTTTTGGTAGCACTAAGCAATAATGCCAGAATGTTTGGAATGCGCTTCTCTCCCTCGAAATGCAAGTTGTTGCTTCAGGACTGGTCTGCGTTAACACCTGAACTAAGGATAGGGAGTGAAGTGGTCGAACGCGTCGACAACTTCACTTATCTTGGAAGTCTGATCAGCTTTAATGGGTTGGTGTCTGACGAAATCTCAGCACGGATTCGAAAAGCTCGTTTGGCTTTTGTCAACTTACGTCACCTATGGCGAAGGCGAGATATCCGTCTATCAATAAAAGGACGAGTATACTGCGCGGCAGTCCGTTCTGTTTTGATTTACGGCAGCGAAACATGGCCATTAAGAGTAGAAGATACTCGTAAGCTACTAGTATTTGACCACAGATGCCTCAGAAACATTTCTGGCGTCTGTTGGGATCACCGGGTAAGTAATAGTGAGGTTAGACGCAGGGTATTAGGTAGTGATGGTAAATCAATTGATGAGGTTGTGAATCTTCATCGACTGAGATGGTTGGGCCACGTGTTACGTATGCCTGAACACCGATTACTACGTCGTGCAATGTTAACCGGTGTTGGAGATGGTTGGAAGAGAATTAGGGGCGGCCTAACCAAAACGTGGCATCAGTGCTTGAAGACACTAACTTCTAGTCTGAGCCATGTTGGTAGATGCGGACTACTTAGTTGGGGTCCACGTAACTATCGTAACCAATGATTGGAGACTCTAGGTGGCATGGCTCAGAATCGATCAGAATGGCGTCGGTGTATATACTCTCTGTCTTCCATTAAACTGTGAGATTAAAATCGCTTCATATCTTTCTTTCTACGAACTAATTCTTTCTTCCTGTACTGTATCCTTATTGCAATCTTTCTTTTATATATTACCACCTCTGAATTAACTACTTTTATGAATCTGGTGTTCATATTGTTGTGTTAATGAGGTATGGCAACCTGGACCGATACATATATGTGCCTGGTCCTACGTTGTAGCTAACTTATAAAAAGTTAGACTTAATAAAATTAGTAATTTCACTTCAGAGAATTTATTTTCAAGAAGGCCTCAAACAGCAAAACATACCTATCGGAATACATATATATTCCGTTACAAGTTAACATTTATAGGTAGAGATTGAAATAGTGACACCTCTTAGTATAACTGTAAAGTTTCTACCGATGTTTGCAACGTATCTCAGGAACCTTTATTCAAAAATTGAAGTTGGCGTTGTGGATTCATTCCCAGTATGTTTATTCGAAATTTTTGTTTTATGTCCTCATACCTGGAGAGCATGTGACATTGCGTTCCATCCTCGCACTAAGTATTGGAGCGTAAAAAAGTTGAAATTAATCCCTTCCTTACATTTTAGGTGCTTTCAATTTGCAAGGTTTAGACAGATATTGAAGTGCTAGCTATGGACTTAGCTGATCAACCACTGATATTGTCGAATTTATCATCAAAAGCAGTGACCTTCATCCAGTATATTTTTTAAGAAGACAATGATTTATCCATTATTGATTCTGTAGAAACTGAGAATTTTATTACCTATCAAAATGCTGACAGTTTGTAACCAAATAATCATTCCTTAAAAATTCGTGCTCATCAATTATTAATAAACAGTGTCTAACCAGCAAAAATGACCTTTATCTGATAAGCTACCCACTTTTACACACGAATTATTCGAATTTTAGACGCATAATACTAGTTTTACTACCAAAATAGATGATGATCACCCATCCATCAGTTAACTAACTTCTCCTCTTAAGACCTATTCCTGGTCCATTTATCTGATGCAAAAATTAACGTACATTTAAGTGTATTTGCTAAGTTTATGTACGACTATTTTTTTCCTAAGTTTTCAGATCACGGTTACTAAATGGCGTGAAAAGAACTATGGACGCCATTGTTGTTTTGTGTCATTTCTGTGAACAACATGGTCCATCAGTAATAATGTGTACCCAGTCATTTAAACAATCACAATCAAATTTATCTGTAAATAATGTACCCGATGTTACTACTGCCAACGCTAATAATAGTAACAAAGATGTAAACACATATCAAAGAAAATTATCTAGTCATGCTCTACAAAGTAGCGATGATGCAATTCTTACTGGGATAGATGTTTCGCCTATCCCTTTACCATCTTCATGTATGTAGTTTTGTTGCTTATGTGTTTTTGTTTTTTTCTGCCTGTAATGGGAGGTTTTAAACCTGATATAATTAGTTTGTCACTTCAGGTTGAAGAGTATTAATAAATTTAAATACAATTTTTGATATGATTACTTGTTTATTTACTAGTGGTTTACTATTTTAGTCTATCTCGTCAGTCATGTGTTACGCGTGTCTAATCACCGACTACCTGGACATTCAATGCTGGTTGAGATAGGAATAAGTCCAACGAGAAGTAGGAGTGGGCGAACTAAGGCGTAGTAACAATCCATGAATTCATTGGCTGCTGAACTGTACTTTATAAGTACATCCAGACTATCCGGTTGAGGTCTGCACAATGTGGTTTCAGATATTACATGATGTGTATGAAAAGCGGTTACAGTAAGGAAGATGCATCTGTTCTTTCTCTGCCCTTAATTCTCGAGCTTCAATATTAGTCCGTATTTTTTATTCTTTGAATTTTCCCCTTTCTGAACTTGGCGAGTTCTCGTTTGGTTGATGTTGTAACACTTCACGTCAGTACATTGATGTATTACAAGCAAAGCGAGAAACATAGGATGGGACTTATTGTCAACGACTGTTCGAATGTAAACGTGAAAAGCACATTTCGAAAGAGACCAATGTCATGGAATGAGGGAAAGTAGAAAATTATACCTAAGTCAATTATGGAAACTAAATGCAACTGCGCCACTGACCAGTTCCGAGTCATATCGCAACGTTGGTGGTTATGATTGTGTAAAACATATTCTTATAACTTTGGTCGTTAAATGTTTATAGTCATCAGCGAAATTGCTCTTTCTACCGAGCAGCTTATTGTGGTATACCTCGGGATTACTCACTGATGGTCCAGATGTTAGAACAGTGCATCGAAGGTGCCTGTGATCAAATACTTACAGCTTGTGTCTTCTACTTTCATAGGTCATGTTTCATACCCATACAGTAAGACAGTGGTAGTTATTTGTCGTCTAAAGTATTTTTATTCTTCTTGATAACCATATCCCCTTAGTTGACTGTCTTCGTGTGCGTCGTTTACACCCAATGTGCAATCGTATTCAACACTACATTGGATTAGAAATGTTTTGGAGGCTGTTGAGCGATGTATTGCCAAACTATGAAGTCACTGACTTTCATATTAACTTGTGTCGGTGGGTGCAGACGTTCTGGTTGAGGTTCGCACAATAATCATAATCAAAGGGTAGTTACCTTAGGTAATGGCATGGCTGAAAACCTTGTTAAATTAGCCTTGATCAATCTTTAGTTTTAATGTTACTTCACTTTTTATGTTCGGTTGTCTACTAATGCTTTCATTTTGACTGATCACCTAGCTGATATCAGTTCGTGTTGCAAATCACTATCGAACTATCCAACTATTTGTTACATATTATTTTATTTTCTGAACAATAGCATCGAGATTTTCAGTGATGTCATCAAACATTACTCAACAGCAACAACAATCACATCCAGCTTGTAAAGCATGCTCATCTATCTTGTTACGTGATGAACTAGGAATAATTAGCTATGATCATTCTGCCAATCTTTCATATATTTCTACGCAGTCTCCAAAAGACACGGATTTAAGTACACATGTTCGAAATGCATGCTTGCGAAGTCTTTCTAGTGAGGTATTCAATCTGTGATTATCTTAATATGATTCTTTTTATGATATTTTATTGTTAATTACTTATTTTTTGTATATTGGAACTGACACTACTTATTAGCTTTAATATTTAAACGATCTGTTCGTATGTTTTCATTATTTTCTTCTTTACGGTAAAAATGCACATGGAATTAAGTAGTCATATAAATTTCTGTATACTAGGTTATAGGTACACACATGTGATTGTGCATTATACTTCTCTGTAGTTCAAAACTGATTTTTATAATCAATTTTTCAAATGATTAAATTACGACAATACAGTATTCACTAGCATAGAGCAACAAAATTTGTCATAATGTCTTTGGCCTATGTAGTTCATCAAACATCCCGAGTAACTGGATATCGGTTTAACCAATGAAATAAATATTAACACGAAAAATGAAACGGATCTAAAATAAAGGTGATAAGTATTAATCAAGATATGAGAATTAATTTTTCTTTCGTTGTCCTCTTAGATATAAGACATCTTTTAGTTTGCAGGGTTTTATCATTAAGGTTTCGTTGTCTGTTTAGACTGCATCTTCACTGCAAATGTCGAAACAGTGGTTTGTGAGAATTTTAAGTAAGAAAATTTGTATATTTCATTCTAGATCCTAAAGACACGCTTTTATGTGTGGGAAAATTCATATAGCCTATCGTTTTTGCGGATTGTCCTAGTCATGTTGCTTACAAAGTTATTGAAAGGTTTATGATTAGGCTACTCTTACGGGGCTCTATGATGAGACGTTTACGTAATAAATAATTTAGGACTTTAACTGCCTAAACTATCAAGAACACACCATAAGCATGATCAAATATGTTTTGCTCAATACCACAGACTTACAGGAAACACAGAATGATTATGACTAACAAAATGCAATTGCATTATAATACCTCTTACACACGTGGTAAGGATGTTAAGCATACAGATTAATGCAAATATAATCTGACCAATGAGAGTCTGTCTGAGCCGCCATTTATCACTAAAAATTTTCCACTTACTACAAGTCTACCAATACCAAAAATATTCATAAATATCGTCCAACTTTCCTTCGGACGTTTTTACTAGTGGAGTAGTAGATTAAGTCCTGTATTGATCCAACCATGATCGTATCTCTAGATTCACAAGTAAACGCACATAAATTACAATTCATTTCTAGGTTATAGACACTCCTTAATTAAGAGAACGCTGTGATTTCCCTGTCGCTTAGTTCGTAAACTGAATAACTTTTTTTTTGGGGGGGGGTAAATATTGATTGTCACTAAGATCCGAGGTATAGTTTTATAATTATTACCCGGCAACCTGTCTGACCTAAAAACGCTCAATAATAAGTAGTTGAAAAAACGGTGAGATTGTTTTTTTTTGATGGACTTTTGTCCTCGTAGCCAGATGGTTTGGCTGTGGAGCTTTCGTCGTTATTCTGAACACCATCGTCCGCACAAACTTCAGATTGAAATGAAGTGTTCGCATTTCTCTACACATGGCTCACAACTTGTCCCGTAGACCTCGATGTTGATTGGTTCCTGTTAACTCTTAACCTATGATTGTCTACTTCATTTTGACTTTATCTTCTATTGATTTAATATTTGGTCCTATATTTGTCCATACTTTATCAATCAATCAGAAAAAAAATCATGGACAAATATAGGACCACAAATAAAATCAACGGGAGATACAGTGAAAATGAAGAAGTAAACAATGGTAGGTTAAAGGTTAACAATAACCAATCAACATAGAGGTCTACGGGACAAGTTGTGAGCCATATGTGGAGAAATTCGAACACTTCACTTCAACCTGAAGTTTGTGATGATGATGTCGTTCAGAATAACGATGGAAGCTCCACGACCGGATCACCTAGTCCATAAAACAAAACTCCACTAAACTCATCCACCTGAGCTTCAAATCTCCACTTGTTTTCTTTCCAAGCCATAAATTTTGGTATTGTAGGACACCCAAAAACAGTAGAGAAGAAGGTTATCTAATCAATAAATACATAAACTAAGATGTATGTTGTAGGCCATAAATTAGTTAAGCACACAACCAAGATACTTATATGGAAAACACTATAAATTGCAATGAAGTCTCCTTTGTCTTAGGTTCCGAATCATCTGAAAACTCGAACTGTTAGGTTATATAATCTAAAAGACCCCAACAAAGCAGTCATCATGGACTGGCAGATTCGTCTTTACATAGCTATCCTTCATCCCTCGATACTTTTTCATAATCCGACCACCTTTTTTCACACAGTCCCAGCTTTAGCAGATAATTTTCACCCTAGGAGCCATTGGTAACAATTGTCAAGTGTATTCAGGCTGCTAAAGCTGAGGTTTGAAGTTGGTGACACTAATTGAATGTGTTCACCATGGATTCCATCGATTAGCAAAACGATCATAAACAGGATAGTATGCAATTCTGCATTTAAAGTCATCTTACTGATCTCACTGGTCAAATGTATGGCACTTTCAAATGTGTTATAAAGAAGTTTTGTTGGGTTAATATTTAAAAACTCCACAATTTTTACGTTTTATCATTACCTACAGTCGAACATCGTAGTAAAATCTAAACTCCCATTGTTCCATAATCAATAAATCTATTTGTTCAGTATTCGTTCTTAATAATTTTGGATACGTGAAACATTTTCGTCTTGAACTTATGGTACTATTAATATCACACTGTATAATAATGTAATTTTTTGTAGGTTTGCCCAGGTCAAGTCGGTGCATTTTACTTTGGTGATGAAATAAATGGTCATGTCTTAAGTTATAATTTCCCTTTGAATGATTCACGTGCGCGTGGTAATCAAAGTCGTTTCAGTATTTTGGTGTTATCATGGGATAAGATATACCTACTAAATATATGGTCATTTTTGGTAAGCCCGATAGTTATTTTGTTTCTCAATGAATTTCCTCTTTCTAATTATCAAATTGTAACATTTAATAAAGTTGGATAGTGACTAGCATTAGAATCGAGAACATGCCTTTCTCTCTATTTGCTACTCGTCATATGGATATACCTGAATCCCAATGTTATTCATAGTGAGACTTGAACTCAGTACATTTCGCCTCAAACGTCAATGCGTTTTCCACTGGGCTACTTACTAAATCATTCATGTAACTATGATTGGCTAGTTAATTTGATTTTCTGACTTTTGATACTATCAAATATCTGAATTGATATTTTTCAGAATCAAACTTAATAGTGCTGCATTTTGCTGAACAACTTATATTATTAATAGAAAAAGATTTAAATTATCATATGACAAATTATATCAAGGCTATCTTCATAGGATGCAAATATGGCGATTACGACTGATAAAAATTAAAGCGTTTATATTAATAACTGGATAGACTGTAATCCACATGTTTATCTTCCCTATACAATTGATGTGACTTCCCTACCTTAACTAACCATCGCGATAATTTCTTTCCCTAGTGTTGTAATGTGAGTCGTTGAAACTTGGTTTATGATGTACATTTGTTCCAGGTTCTCACTGTCTACAACTAACCTACCAAGATTCACAGCTCTGTTGACTGACTTGCTTTTATTCCCTAAAGTTCTACTTATAATTTCAACGTATCCGGTCCTGTATCTCAATGATTATTATTGATTAGTACTTGTAATCCACCACCAGCAATCATGTCTCATAGATACAGTATTTTACTTACCATTCGAACACATATTTCCTTGTGAAGTAACTCATTCAACAAACAAATTATTTTTGAAGAGAGAACAAAAAACGAAGATTGATGTAAAGTAATGTGAATTTATTTTATTTCTCTCGATTCTCATCATCTGCTCACAGCCTATAAAATTTTAACATCAAAGTTATCACAGAAATTGACTTACAGATGAATGTGTATCATGATGTAACGAAGATTCCGATTGAGTTAATAAGATCTTAAAAATATTTTTGTTTCAGGGACAAAAGGGATTTTTGTTTTTTCTTTCTTTAAGATAATAGACGCTCCCGAATGCCTTGGTACGGCTGAGAGCGGGGAAAATCAGCTCTCCCTCTCGAAATGTTTTCACATGACCACGTGCATACAACCACTGCCGGGGAAATCCTACTCACTGCCTTCTTGCGACGCGGGTGTTACCTACGAAGTTGAGAGGACGAAAAGCGAATGTCCGTCGCCTTTACCGGGTTGGTGGACACGGAGAGTTCACTTAAGCGAGTCGAAAAATCCTGATTCCAAACCATTTCTTCATATGGGCTCCGGGATCCTGAGAGAAAAAAAAAGCCGTATGAACCTATTATTGGTCATCGGCTACCATTGGACTGCATCTTCATACGTCGCTCCATTGCCTTGTGGATCAGACCCTTAGGTCAAAGGCTTGGGTTGTGGCCTCCTAAGAAAACCACCTGTTTCAGTTTGGGCGCACGAGCAGTATCCTAGCCCTCACACAAATCGAATTATTTATGTGGCGCATATATATCTGGTGCCTTCTTGTACTTATGTTAATGTGCTTAGATAAATAAAACAAGATAATAAACAGAACTGTGTAGGAAATAAATTTCTTTCTTGAGTTCATTTTCAACAGTGTACAAGTGCATATATATATGATAAATTATGGGTAAATGAATACTTATACACATTGATCAAAAGGAATATACGAAAATTATTTAAAAGTCTCTTCTTCACAGTCATCTAACTCTCATCTCCAGATCACTTTAACATCAGGCTCTAAACATCATAGGTACAATGCAATCATTTATGAATGAACTGAAACATTCCACGAAGATCTCATGCCATTTTTAGGTGTCTCTATCGATTTGAAAATGTATTTCAAAGAGTATATCCTTAATATGATTAAATCTAGGTCTCAAAATGATATGATTAAACTTAAATATATTCTACAATCAGCTATCATTCAGAGAAAATTTCCAGGTGAACCTTTAAAGTATATGTACAATCGTTCATCGCTACAACTCACGCCCATACAAACTCAAACGCTGTTTTCAGGTCCAAAATATTCTAATTATTCTGACAAGCATAGTCAAATTTAGAAATCTTATCAATTGAACTGATGATCTTGTTCCAACTTCTTTGGAATCACAACATTTTAACTCAACAATACTTAACTGTCCCTATCAGTTCATGAAAGCATGACCAACAAATCAATGCTATTTAATTAAGTGACATATTCAATAGATAGAACTTAGTAAAGAGAACCGAGATATTTTATTAGTCCGTCCAGTTTGGGGAACGTGTATGGTTCTACTCGATTGGGATAAATGCACAAATAAAATGGAAGATTTGTTATTTGATTTTAGTAACTTTTCGAAGCCAGGTAAAAATAAGATAAAGCAGAAATGATCAAAAAGCATATTACAGCGAAGTAACAGTGTTTGTTAATTGCTAATCATTTTTAAATACCTTCTTTAATTCCACATTGTCTCTGCTATCCATTAAATGTATAGTGATCGGAATTGTGAATACTTTATTCCTTTTTGATGGAACTTTCTCTAAGCTGAATGGTTTGGTCATGGAGACTTCATCGTTATCCTGAACGATATCATCAGCACAAACAATCCACTTCTACCTGAATTTTGTGTTGATGATGTCGTCCAGAATAACGACGAAAGATCCACAACCAAACCATCTAGCTCAGAGAACGAAACTCCATCAAAATCCTAAACTTTCTCGAATAACTTTACTATCAAGTTTTTTTTGTGTGTTTTATTTTGATTGGTTGGATCACAGATATCGAATATATCACGTATGGTTTCTCGTCTACGTCTAGCAGCCAATCGTGTATACAATGATGAGACTTCAGATAATACAACTGCTGCTGTTGTCAATACAATGACTCATTCAAATCCACAGAAGCCGATAGCTCCATTGAGAAGATGTGCTACACCTCCAGCTTCGTTAGCTCCTAATCTTTACAAACAGGCTATTGCAGCAGGTAATGCTGTTACGGCAGGTTACGGTTTATACAGTAATGCAACATTAGGAAGAGAAACAAAACAGAAAAGAGCTACCGACTCAGATATGCGTTCACTGGCTGATTTAACAAAAGATGATCAAGTATGTGTGTACATATATGTCATGTTTAAGTTTTTTTAATGTCATGGTGGTTGCACAGCTTTGTTAGTTACAAATAAAAAAACGAAAGAGAAATGGTCTTCATCATGAACTACCCAAAAATTGTTGGGTCCCTGTCTGAAAAAATAATATTTTAGAAGTTTTAGCGATTTCCATGGCAATAGATTGGAGATGTCAGATGTTATTACTGAGAATCGGCCGTAAAGGCGCAGATGTATTCACTTCATATTTGTACTTGAACCTTGAGCTTCAAAATGATCTTATACTTTTTATTTCGCGCATGCATTCATTCTTCTCAAATAATATTCCCCATGAGTAATGTTTTTTTTAGTTACCACTACCACTGATATTACTATTTATGCTAATTTATTATTCACGTTGATAATTTCTTGTTTGTGTTGATGTCGTATGATAACTCGATCTGATATACATATTTCTCAAGTTCTATGCTCCTTACTGTTGAGATCCAGAACATTCCTCGAAAAAAGCCCAGAGGGGTCCTGCAAATGCTCGGAAACATTTCACCTTATCAGTATTGAATAGAAGTTTCTCAGAAACATCTAGACAGTGAAGAGCCGCGCGTTACATTTCTGATCCTGCTACTGCGTTTAGTAGAGTTCCAGCATCTTCCAGAAGCCGAATGCCGTCTGTTCATAAACTAACCTTCGAGTAAAGCGTCCTTTTCATATTTTGTGTCTTTTCTATCGTTTAGAATTAACCTGGTGTTGTTAGAAGAGCTTAGGAAAACGATTCAGGCGTTCAATCAGATTTGTCTTAATTACGTCTGTTACTCCTCTTGGAGGAGCATAGACCGCCCACCAGCACTCTCCATCCAACCCTGACAACTTAACCAACCGTATATTCCTGTATTGCTTATTATTATTATTTTCCAAAATTAAGATGAATCATACAAACAAAAGTTCCGTTGTCTATGTTAATAATAGTTCTGGCACACAAAATGACTAACTTTCAGGGTTGAGGTACATGAATCTGAAATCAGTTACTATTGTACTGATTAGTTACCTTCATTAATACTGAATGTGAAAATCTGAAGATTTTTCAAAATGTTGTAAAGTGCTACTTAATACAGTCTATTCTCAGAACAAAATACATGTATGTACATTTACGTATCTTCGTTTGTGTAACAACTAAATTTAATCAAATTCATTCGTAGATATTCTATCGTCTGCATGCTTGGTTCACATGGTTACTTCGTGCCGGTGGTCGTCGATGGAGTATAGTTCCTCCTGCTATTGCGCCTCCAGTTGATGAAGATTCAATTGTATCTCAGGAAGAATATGAAGCTTATATTTCAGCTGGTCTTGAATGTTTAACAACATCTAGTTCAAGAAATGCTGCTGCCGCTGCCAATTCTAACACTTTTAATTTGCCTGGTCATAAACTTGGTCATAGTATGAGTTGTATTAGTCAATCAAGTGGTTCTACAATATTATCAAAATCAATAAATCATTCAACAACCAATGGTACAAGAGATTCGATTGAAACAGATAATAACAAAAAATTATCGCTATATTTAAACAATATGTCAGTAGAAATGGCGAATTCCACGTGAGCATTCTCACTTTCTTGATATTTGTAAAAACACGTACTCCAGTAACAGTTTGCACATATAGCGACGTTGAGCGAGAATCGCAGTTTTGTGGTTAAAGTAGAGAGAAAGAGACAGAGGAAGTGGGCTAGTGATGAATATACCACCAAGTAGTCATCGATTCTTTTACTTGCCTTCCATTATATTGGTATATTTGTTGCCCAAACCGAAATAGATGAAACAGGGCTTTATATTTAGAATTCGGTAGCTTTGTGATTAGAGTTTTAATTGCGTTTATACAAATTTGTCAGTTTACCGTTCTGTTAACTGAGCAACAATTTATAAACTGATTATTAATATATGGTGTTAGTTTTGTTGTGATCATAAATTGCTCACTTCTGAATTCGCTTTATTCTCCCGTTCAGATTTTGTTGCCCTAGTGTAGATCGATGAGAATAACAAGGTTGTCTATAGTAATTACATATTGATCGACTACCTTTGATTCGATTTTTTAACATCGTAGTTTATTATGCCCTCCTTTTTGAATAGCTTAGTAACAATTAACCAAGATAACGGTCGTTCTATATCTCGAATAGACTTAAGTAGTAGATGTGAACTATTAAATTTGAACTCTGGGTAAAAAGCAATGTGCTTACTGTGAAATGTGTACTTGATATTTAACCCGTGTGTTGCGACTTTAAACCCACCTAATTATCACGTGATTTATTCGCCAATCGAAATACAACTTATACAATTTAAGCACTATGCCAAACCAATGACGTTCGACCGGTATGAACACCCTAGTGTCCTTATTGGTCCTTCTCGTCTAGCCATGCCTGTTGAGTCTAGAACACCAATAACAGCTTCTACTCTACTATACAAATCATTTATTTCAAACATACTCGGTTTATATACCAGCCAAAAAGACCATATCATACCATAAAATAATATAATAACAATTGTACAAGATCAAGCCGAAAAGTGGCTGTGGTTGTGAGAGACTTCAATTGATAACCTGTGTATAAATTAAGAATAGTAAATCGTATAACAATAGTCGATAGGTCAAAATAAAGCTTATAATAAGAGAAATATGTTTCGTCCGCATATAACGCTTTCAGGCTTTCATTTTTCCAGAACAACCCAATGTAATTCTCATCTAAACACATGTGCACATACTCACCCCAGTATCGGTTATTTGCAACTAATGTGTTAGCACAGTTTACTTCATTACACTGATTAGGTTGTAAGTCAGATTTTGAGTAACGAATATTAATAAATCATTAGATAGTATAATTTCAATTAGTCAACATCAAATTTCCTTCATTATAAGTTCTCAAAAAGTATATGGGTCAAACTCAAGGATTTAAGTGAGTAAACTACGCGGATTAGTTCAATATGAAGTGAGCTTTCATTAAGAATTAATATCAATTAAGAAACCATTGAAAAAGACCGAGCATTAAACAGCTGTTTCATCCTGTTCCGGGCTCTTTAGTAGTGTCCACCTACAATTACGGTTATATCCTAGCGAAGATTAAATTATGCCAGTCAGCAACAACGTAGAACTTCGTATGCACGTACGTACATCAGTTCAAGTTGTCATACCACATTAGCACACAGATACAATTGTCGATTCAAATCCCATAGTAGTGGAGGTAGTAGAAGTATAAGCAGTAATCGAAAAGATTAGGGTGAAATAAATTTGGAGAAAAAAAGGGATATGAAGTATTCGGAAGATTAAATTATGGGTAATTTATGAGGGCTATTAATGAACTAATATTATGTATATATTCATATTTCTCTTATTATAAGCTTTATTTCGACCTATCGACTACTGTTATACGATTTACTATTCTTAATTTATACACAGGTTATCAATTGAAGTCTCTCACAACCACAGCCACTTTTCGGCTTGATCTTGTACAATTGTTATTATATTATTTTATGGTATGATATGGTCTTTTTGGCTGGTATATAAACCGAGTATGTTTGAAATAAATGATTTGTATAGTAGAGTAGAAGCTGTTATTGGTGTTCTAGACTCAACAGGCATGGCTAGACGAGAAGGACCAATAAGGACACTGGGGTGTTCATACCGGTCGAACGTCATTGGTTTGGCATAGTGCTTAAATTGTATAAGGCGTGTTCTGATTGGCGATCTTACTAGTGATAGTTAATAGGCTACAAGACACGTCAATTAGCGACAGGGATTTTGCGAAAAAAAGAAATAGTCATCACAAATAGTATCCATCTGAACTGTAGATTTTATCCTTCATATTGACATCATTTAGTTGAAAAATGGAAACACGAAATATCCATCAACAAATATTTATTTATTCCAGTAGTTATGGGGTTGGATTATTCTTGATTTCGTAACCTGTCTAAACGATATAGTATATTACGAAGAGTTGCATCCGTATTTGTGCACTTAAATATTGACTTCTATACTTACACATTTCTTTTTCTCGTTTTCGACACTAGGTCTTTCATGATCTTGTCCAGACTATTTACTGTACTTGGTGTCAACCCATTTAGTCGATTAGTTCAGCATATAGCTGTTGGAAATCAATTGGTTGTACAATCATTAACCGAAGATATACACTCTACACTGACATTGTCTGCATTAGCTAAACTATTACCTAAAGGATGTATTAGACAGGTTTGTTCTGTGTATAGTCTGTTTTTGTTTTGTATGCGTTTCTATTCAATTTCGCATAAGGATATAATGTAACTCACCTACCAACCAAGTATATGTTTATGTATGCGGAACTTTGAACCAAGGTGGTGTATGTGTGTGTTGTTAACGTGCATTACATTTGCCTAACCACGGCAAGGTTGAAACCTGAAACTCTTTTTATAAAAAGTGTTTCAACCATTCAACCATGGTATTCACATTCTGATATTTATTAATAGGTTGGATGATTAGTTAAAGAATATCCATTAGTGAGCCGAGAATTCAAAACAAAACTTCACACAACAATTGAAATAATATCCCATTTTATCTCTGTAGTGTAATTATTAACTCAATATGTATGTTTATGTGAAGTGGAGTGAATGAGTCCAGCTTTGCATTATACAGTTAAGTTCAATCTTGAAAGGGAAATAAATCTTCTAAACTCCTAACTAACTAAACTTGAACGTATTCTGAGTACCAGACATCGGTTTAACAACTGTCAATAAAAATACAGCAAAACAGACAAAAGTCGTTTTTTACTATACTTGACAGCTGTACTATCTATTCTACTGTATATTTTAGTATCCAGTAGACATTGGCGTCTCTATAGTAGTATTGATTACTATTTTCAATATACATGTTGCGTTCTATAGTTGAACATCGTCTATGAGATTGAATCAATAAATCAAAGTTTGAATTATCAGTTCCTTACTAAGTATTCCGTTAAAATTCAAGATATTATCCATCTCATGTCTATGTTCAACTGACATTTTCAGTCTCCTCAAATTCCCTGGTCTAACCGATAGTGGGGAGAGTTAGCTCTCCCTTTCGAAATGCTGTCACATGGCCACGCGTATATAGCCATGGTCAGGAAAGTCTTACTCACTGCCTTCTAGCGGCATTACTGTTGTTTACGAAATTGAGAGGACAAAAAAATATCCGGCGCTTTAACCGGGTTGGTAGACACGAAGAGTCCACCTTTGGGATTTGGAAAACCCTGATTCCAAACTAATGGTGCACATGGGCTCCAGTATTCTGAGAGAACAAATGGCGTTGGGATCCACTGTTGGTCACCGGCTACCATGTTACTGCATTTCCTTACGATGCTCCACTGCATTGCGGATCAGACCTTTAGGTCAAAGGCTCAGGTTGTGGCCCTTTAAGAAAACCACCTACTCTGGTCTGGGCACCCAGGCAGTATCACAGCCCACATACAAATCAAGTAACTTGTGTGGCACATTTGTGTTCGATGCGCCTTTGTACCAATATTTATGTGATTAAATAAATAAATAAATAAATTTTCAGTATCTTTTCAACTGTCATTCGTATGTATTTATTTCTGGAAGTTTAAGATAAATAAGTGTATTTATTAGCTACGTGAGGATAACAGGTTATGTCACTTTTATTATCTGAAACTTTTACACTTGCTACATCCACGTATGATGCATGAATGAAATGAACGGATTCTAAAACGAAAGTGATCACTGGATAAAATAGTAACCTGTTCACTTCTTTCAATCTTTATTCTTTTAGAAAAGAATATCAATGGTGGGTCAGGCGTCAATATAAAGTTTCACGGACTAACTGGGCCGTTGTTTTATCCTTGTTTAAATCGTTATAGGAGCTTTGTACACGCAACTTTACCAGTGCTCTTACCTATGACTTTCAAGCCTCTTGATGATTTATAATGTTTTTAAACCTTTCTGAATTATAAAGGAATAATTCATACTTTCAACTACATTCTATTAATTCATAATTTATCATCACAATGATCTGATGCCATCGATGTTGTTATCCGTGTCATTCTAAATATGATAATGTGCTAATCGGGTATGGCAAATAGGATCAACTCACGTCTGTGCTAGTATCTCTATATTGACGTTTGTCTTTCTCTCTGTCGGTTTGAACCTCTCTTCACTCATAAAACAACTAACCAGTGCTCCTCAGTTTTCAATTATTCTCCAGGTTTTTGCCAGTTTAGCGGTAATATCTCACTTTAGAAAATTTAATAAAAGGTTAAAATTCTCATTTTCACTCGTCAATGATAATAATAGTAATGATTTTCATTGTAATAGTAATACTTTTCTTTTAAATGTTTTCTTTACTTTTCAAGGTAATAGCAAGTCATGAATATGTGGCACCATTTCGTTGTAATCTTTTAAGTTTAACAAGTAATTTATTAATGTTAGAAGAAGATGTAAATATGGCTAAAGATGTTCTTTATTTAGCTGTTTATCGTTGTGAATGTAAATCATCATCATCGTCATCATCATCATCATCATCATTAAATGAAACAACAATAATCTCTAATGAAAGTAGTGAAGAATCTTTTCTACAATCATATGTCAATTCTGTAAGTATTCCTATCTTGAACATGCATGCTTGAAATTAACCAAATGTTAAAGGTTTTTTTTTGTTACTCAACTTTTAGCCACACTCTTCATATGAAATGAAATATTTCTTCGCCTTACTTGCTTTTACATGTATCAAAGTGTGTATGTGCGTGTGTGTGTGTGAGAGAAAGAGAAAGAGTTAATAAGATAATTACCTAGCTACCTAAACAGTACCAGATAGAGTTGTATTCGAACTGACGACTACTTGTTGGTTAAAAACCGAGTAATTTAACCACTAAACCATTACTTATTAAGCGTAGGTATAAATAAAAAACTTTTTTTCTATATTCGTATTAAACAGTCTAAGCATAAATATGATATTCCCCTATTCATGACTAATCCATCGTGCTGCATTATATGTATGTATGTATGACAGTAAGCTTAATTGTAGTTGAGTTGGTAAGCTTTCCTCAATATATAAGGCTACAATGTGTCAATGAATATTAAAACTGTTTATTATTGACTTCTATCATAATGTGGGACTTCAATAGAAGTAAATATATATAACTCAATAACTATGTACAGTTTCATTTAATTAATTTCAATATGTTTTCAATATACTGACGTTGATGTTATAAACGCCTAGCTGAACAATCTACAAGAAGTTAAATGAATGATATTGAGATGATTGAGAAGATTTATAGCTCAGATGGATGATTTTGATGGAGTTTTGTTCTCTGAGCTAGATAGTTTGGTCGTAGAGCTTTCATCGTTATTGCGAACGACATCATTAACACAAACTTCATGTTGAAGTGAAGAGTTCGAATTTCTCCAATATATGACTCACATCTTATCCTGTAGACCTTGATGTTAATTGGTTCTTGTTAACTCAACCTATCTTTTTTTACTTCTTTATTTTTGATCCTATATTTGTCCATAATTTTTCTGATTGGCTTTTAAATTGAATCGATTTTAAATGTACTTGTTAATTGCTGATTGACCTTAGTATCAAGCTTCTGAAAATTCTTAGAATTCCCTCTATCCAAGATGTCAACATTTTTCCAGTTGAATATGTGTCCACAATGGATGGTATTAAAAAATTACCATATTTAACTTGGTTACACTGAACCTAGAGACACGTGTTACGTATGCCCAACGACCGACTACCTCGACGTGCTATGTTCAGTGGTATAGGAGTAGGTTGGAAGAAAGCTAGAGGCGGTCAAACCAAAACATGGCACAAGTCCATGAAGTCACTGACAAGTGGACGGAGTCATGTTGGTAGATGTAGACTACCTGGTTGGGGACCACGAGATGATAGCAACCGATGGTTAGAGACCCTGGATGAAATGGCTCAAAATCGTCTGCAATGGCGATGGTGCATCCACTCTTTGTGTTCTCCCAAATTCTAATCTTCTGAATCCTCCTTATCTCTTTTTTCCTCTTTCCAAATTTATTTCACTGGATTATACTCTTTGAATAACATCTTCAAACCCTAATGCTTCTGATTACTGCTTATAATTTTACTACATCCAGCACTACGGGGTTTGATTCGACCACTGCATCTCTGTGCAAATGTGGTGTGGCAACTCGAACTAATGTACGTATGTACGAAGTTCTACGTTGACTGACTGACTGAATGACACTGAACCTAGTTACGGCTGTTACTTCCAATGAAGCATAGACTGCCGAACAACATTCTCCAACCCACTCTGTCCTGAACCTTCCTATCTACTTCTCTCCAATTGCTGTTCATTCCTTTCATGTCCGTCTCCATTTCTTGGCGTAATGTGTTCTTTTGTCTCCCTCTCCTCCTCTGGCCCTGAGGATTCCAAATAAGGGCTTTCCTCAATGTGTGTCCTATCCACTTCTAGCGCTTTCTCCAGATTTCTACTTCCGCTGGGATTTGGTTTGTTCTCCCCCACAGTAGGTTGTTTCTGATAGTGTCTGGCCAACCGATTTTGCGTAGACAACTGTTAATAAACACTTGTATCTTTTTGATGATGGCTTTCGTAGTCCTCCAGGTTTCCGCCCTATACAGTAGAATTGTCTTGACATTTGTATTGAAAATTCTGACTTCGGTGTTGGTTGACAGTTTTGAGTTCCAAATGTTCTTTAATTTCTAGATATATTGCTCTTACTTTACCGATCCGCTCCTTCACATCCTCTGTCAAGATCCCCTCTGGGCTACTGCCAATCCCAAGCTCGGATAAAGGAGTAGGGTTGGGCATGGGGTTAGTGATCCCATCCCGTAGAAAACTAACTCTCTAAAAAAACGCTAACGGTTACACTGAGACGATGCATTAATTCTTTTTTATAAGATAATTGAATGTGAGGAAATGATTATTAATATTATTATTGGAAACTATTATTTTACTTACCTAATTAGTAATTCCATAAATATTTAGGTAAATAAACGGTTTTTCTAACGTTTAATAGATATGAATATATCATGTAGTAAATATTTGATAAATCTTGCGGATTGAACGCTGTATTCGTTTCCTAAGCTATTCTGTAACCCCCAAGCTAGATCGATGCAGCGACCTGAACACGAGAGAGAAAACGCAAAGTACGCGAGAAGTACTTTACTCCAAGGTTCATTTTTGTACAGAAAATCACGGGTATTTATAGATGTTAACATTTGTTAAATCAACATCATATTTTGGCCAATCCGCTAAAAAAATATTATGCTACTGACCAATAGTAGCACGCCACGTTGACATTCCAGAAAGCTCCATCATGCTCTGACTGGCTAGGACTCTTCAGCTCCTTTAAGGCCTCTGGAAGATCCTTTGCAGTTCTCGGAAAGCCGACTCAACAATATTAATCTCTTATTTAAAGGAAATTGTTATCCTGTAACCAATTATAAGTTTATTATATAAGTTGATATATTTTGTATAAAGCGTTAATATTATTATTATGTAACTAGTTATATCGATTTAAGTAAATTAGTGCAATTTAAACCTTGTCCATTGTTTGAATTATTACATAACGTTTTATGTTTACTACAAGTGTAATATATGTACAACTTTGATTTTTTAATTATATTTAACCTCCCCTTCACACTTATTTTCGTCACAGAACAACATATTAATTAGAAAGTTTCAATTAAGACTAGGTAATAATAGTATCAAACTGAATAATTGTACCGTAGTAGATTTGTGGACTGGTCAACAATGAACACCAACTACTGATATCTCAATATTGAATGAGTCAGAAAATCATTCAACATACTAGAATTCAGAATTCATGAAATGATCTTAGTTAGACGACTTGGCAAAACTGGGAAACATTGTATAGTTGTGTTATAAATGCTCTCGTACGGTTGAGGGTAAGGAGACCTCTCCCCCACGTAGAAACTCATATGGCTACTGCTAGGAGTACTGTTGGTGAGAGTAAGAGGACGGAAGGTGGATTTCTGGTGCCTAAACCGGGTCGTACTTTGCAAAGGATCTACCCAGGGGAGTTAGAAAGCCCTGACATCAAACTAATGGTGGACGTGTTCCTAAATCCTAAAGGTTACCGGTTACCATAGGATTATATTTCCTGACTTTACTCTAACGCCTTATGGATTAGACCCTTTGGTGAAAGGTTCGTGAAATGGCTCTTTAAAATAATCACTTACTTCATGGAAGTAAACGTTCCTGCTACTTCTTTCTATTGATGAAAACAATATTCACAATTATTTTATGACAGCCACCTATTATACATTGTGTCACTTATCTGTTCGTTCTAGTATAGACTGCTTTTTTGTAGTGCACGTCTACGACTCTACAACTATGAGTAAAGCTCAAAACAATCAAATTTCACCGTAATGTTTTCCAATTGTAATGATTCAGAATAATCAATCAATTCATTCATTAATTATCGTCACAGAATGGTACTGTATCTGTGTTAGTTTTTTTATTCCAGTTCTATATTCTTTTTTTTTAAAAATTCATTTAATTTATTATTTGTTTTACTGTTTTACTGTTTTGTTTTTATTTTCATTTGAATTAAAGTTAAATTTTAAATTCTGTTCAACAATTCCATCATTTGATTCAGAATTAATTTTATATAAAAAATCATTACCTTGTCGTTATTTGTCTACTACTACTACTACTACTACTACTACTACTACTACTACTACTACTACTACTACTACTACTAATCATCATCCATCTATTACTACAATTCCTCGTCAATTTTTAACTAATAATAATGGACGTATTACAATATCAAATTATGTACAACAAATTATTAAATTATTTCATATGAATCCACCATTATCAATGAATGTTTATACAATTGCTTTATCTACAATACAACATGAATGGATACATCGTGCACGTTTATTATATTCATTTAAACGTTGTCAAGTAAGTTGATTCCGTTTTGATGATTAATAAAATCTTGGTTTTACCCGAATTGATTAAATTTGTTCAAGTAAAATACATGTACTAAGATTATTGAAACTCTATTTTATCATGTTTATTGGTGGTGGTGGTTGTGGGGTGGATTTACTTACTTACGCCTGTTACTTCTCGTAAAGGAGCATAAGCCGCTCACTACTAGCATTCTCCATCCAACCCTATCTTGAGCAATCCTTTCCAGTTCCTTCCAGTTGTTATTCATCCTTTTCATATCTGATTCTATCTACCGACGTAATGTATTCTTTGACCTTCCTCTTTTCCACTTCCCTTCAGGATTCTTGGGCTTGCCTCGTGATGTAGTTTGACGATTTGCGTAATGTATGTCCTATTCGTTTCCATCGTCTTTTCTTAATTTCCTCTTCAGCTGGAAGCTGGTTTGTTCTCTCCCACAGAAAGCTGTTGCTGATGGTATCTGGCGGAATGTCTCCATTTTTCTTCCGTTTAAAATGAATCCTCTTTATTTATACGAATGCATTTGTTTTTTCTTCGTTTTTTTCTTTATTATTCAAAATTGCCTTAACGATTGTTAGCGGTTAGTGTTGATAGTTGCATCGTCGTTTTACTTCTCTGTTGCTAGAATCAAATACATAGACAGTTTTCTTAAGTCTACCTTAACAGTAGTCATTCCGATAATGGATCGATGATTCCTGAGTAACGAAAGCGCTGGACATATATGCGATAATATGCTCAGTAAATTAACATATTCATTATCATGAATATCCTGTTATAGGATGTTCAATGATAATAATTTTGTGTTTATATCGAATCTAGTCTTGTTACTTGATATTATAATGTACTTGTTCATTGCTAGATTCATGTTTATATATGATCAATTAACTATGTAAAGTCCATAATCATTTAACTATTTAAGTCATGAATATAAAACCAAACATTTTTGTGTAGGTTTAGTTGTCGTTTCTAAAACTGTTATTATCTCGGATTATTTTTACTGGTCTACACTTGCCATCGCTTCTTGGCCCCCAAATGCTATGGTTCGGCCGAGAGTCAGGAGAGTCCGCTCACCCTCTCGGAATGTTCTCACATGGCCGCGCGTATATAGCCTCTGACAAGGAAGTCTTACTCACTGCCTTCTCGTGGCGGGGGTGTTGTTGAGGACGGAAAGCGAATGTCCAGTGCTTTGACCGGGTTGGTGGACATGGAGAGTTCACCTAGGGGAGTTGGAAAACCCTGGTTCCAAACCAATGGTGTACATGGGCTTCAGGATCCTGAGGGAGCAAATGGCGTATGAACTAATCGTTGGTCACCGGCTACCATGTTACTGTATCTTCTTACGATGCTCCACTGCATTGTGGATCAGACCTTCAGGTCGAAGGCTCCGGGTGCGGCCTCATAAGAAACCACCTACTTCGGTTTGGGCACCCGGGCAGTATCACAGCTCTCGCACAAACCAAATGAGATCTGTGTGGCGCATATATATTTGATGCCTTCTTGTACCAATATCTATGTGTTCGAATAATAATAGTGCTTCCCCTTTCCATCAATAAAGTGAATCACATTGTTTAATTTCGTCTTTCTAAATTAAAAAAATATTGTATTGTTTGGACGAATGATGACTACAGAACCATATTGTAGGTACCGATTCAATCATGGTATTGTAACCAGCATGTTAGTAGTTTATGGTTTTTATGGAGCTTGTCAAATTTCATAAATCACATCAACAATTTCCCCGAGTCGTTTTATATTAACAAGTCATGCACTCTTTAGTGGCTAATTCCGAGAAGTAACTTCCTTGGTTCTTATGAGAAACTTGAACCGGTGAATTTCAATTATATCGAGTGTAAGTAAGATTGTTGCATAGTATAGCAAATCGAATAAATTTGAAAATGTGAATCACTGGATGTAGACTCAGTAATCCAAATGTTAAATGTTTACTGTAAAACCTAAAGGTCCTAGGTTAGACCTTCGGTGAATTTGCGAATGTACATTTTTGAGGAGTTCTTGTCTTTAGTTTACTGGTTTTCCCTGATTCTCTTATTCTGGTCAGTTCGTGGTTTAATATATTAACGTTTTGGTGCTCATGTTGTTGTTACCTTACTTTTCCATTAAATAACCATCTCTTCCTCCTTTCAATCTTAACTACAGGGATCATCTTTGAGCGGTGAGGAAGCAACTCGTCGTTGGACTAATGTACTCGCTTCAATCAATTGTCAATCAGCGGAAAATGCAGCTGTGGCAAGATTTTGGCAAGGTGCTTTAAGTCAATACTCTCGTAATAATATATGTCACTTACGTAAATGTCCAACCGCTACCAATTCAACGAATACATCAAGACGTGGTTCATTTAGCTCGAGTAATGCCGATTTAAATGCTGCTGTTTTAGCAGCTGCGATAAATTATCAATCGGTTCCATTAAATGATTAATTATCTGTATTGCTTTCATTTTTCTTTCATTTTTTTTCTTATCTTTGTTCTTTTATATTTTGTAAATTTTTGTTTACTTGTGTTTTTGTTTCTTTTGTTGTGATTGTTAATTCGTTTCAATTTCTCTTCAATATCATCATAATTCAAATGTGAAATTGTAGGTCAGATTCTCTTGTTCCTTTACATCATCATCACCATCATCATCATCATCATCATCACAATTATTACGCTGTAAATAAGTTATCTATCTAGTTTTCTTACTCCGGTATAATCCATAATAATAATAGTCATCATGATGATGATGGTGCTGTTGCTTATTCGCTTAATGAGATCAAATGTTTATTTACTGTTGGTTCACTAAACCAACTAATTGTACCGGTGTATATGTATGTCTTTATATATCACGCTTTACAAAGTGAAGATATCACTTTCTTACCAATCTGTCATTGTACTAAAAATATTCCACATATAACTTAAATATGATCAATCTGACTAATAGTGATCGCTTATATTTGTATTATCAATATTACTGTATATAATTCACTATGTTATTGATTGATCAGTTGTGATCATCATTTTGATGATCATTATAAAAAGCAAATGTTATACTTAATCTTGTTTTATTTGGCTTCATATATATTTATGAGTTATTATTGATTCATGTATTTTTGTTTGATAACAACAACTTTACCAGTGTATATTTCATTCTTCTATAGGTACCATGATGAGATAGATGTGTGATTTCAATATATTTCAATATACAAAACATCATCATTTTTATCTTATTTTAGAAGCCTTCAAATATAATTTCAAGATTATGAGGTTTTGATTGTCCGTCAGATTTTAATCATTATTACTATATGTACCTTATTTTTCTATGGATAAACTTGGAACGTTTTATTAAATTGAATGTTTGCCATATTTATCACACTTATACCTAGATAATTGCTACTCTAGTCTAGATATTATGTTGTATAACAACAGTAGATTGAAAAAAAGTATGCAGTCGACAAGACTAGAAAAATTCATAATCTCATTTTGGGCCGGGTGATTTAGAGGACCTAATTTAGTTTGCGAGATCTTGCTATTAGAGGTATGAGGGCGGTTGACCACATCGTGGAAGGGTTCTTCTAGAGGTACCTGAAAAAGAAATAGGGTTAGAGGTGGTCTTAGTAACCTGAGAGCGTGACTGCAGTGCTCAAGGAACAGCTGCTTGAGGTCGGTCACACATGACCTTTTTATGAGTAATTTTTGTGTTAGCTTGTCGAGACCTTACCGCCATTGGCGGATGTCCGTGGGATAAGGGGAGGTGTGCATTTTTAGGGCCGACTTTTTCTAACCCCACTCTTCTTTTGTGGGAAGGCAGCATCGCTGTTGTGCTAGTTGTCTGAAGGAAACACCTTCCTGCTGTCACACCTCTGTACAGTCAGCAGTACAACTTCGCCCTCGAACCTTGGGTTTGCTACTTCTAGCCTTACCGCTCTTCAACCGACCTGTATGTCATGGCAGTACCATGAGCAACGATTGTTCCAGCCAGTATAGATCGATTGGTTTTTAAGCTATTCTCGTAACCCCCAAGCTAGAACTATACAGCGACCTGAACACGAGAGAAAAGGCGCAAAATATGCGAGAAGCACTTTACTCCAAAGGTTCGTTTTAGCACTGAAAATATAGGGTTTTTATAATGTTTTAGATGTCCTTGGGTTTACCGAAAATTCTGGAATGCTACTAAACATAGTAGCAGTGTAGTAATCAGCCAATCAGAAACTGTACATGTGAATTTTCACTTTCCTAACGTTTCTGGCTAAACTTCAAGTGGAGGCTGATTAGATAAAATGCTTCTTAGTTTCTTGAACCTTTCTTGTCTTTTGTGAGAATTTTTCTGGATTACCCCAAGAGCAAGCTCGACCACTGCGTCAAGGTAGCAGCAACGATCAGGCGTTTGCGTGATAGTTGTATTGATGATTAGCTCAGGAGACAATAAAAGTAATGTTCAATTGAATGTTCAAGGTCAAGTTTAGTTGAGAGGCGATATTTTTCCCTCCACGTAGGCTGTAACATACAACAAACTAGAATTTGATTGATTTACTTGCTCTAGTTGACCAATTTCAACTTGTTAACACTACTAGGAACTGGTTTAAACCTAGCTAACGTGACATTATTAGCAGGTCTAAGAATTTATTTAGTCATCAATGTAAGTGATTAGTTAAATAATTAAGTTGAAGTCACGGTATTTATTAAATAACTTTATTTTCTGGATAAACATACAGAATCCTATTATATAACATGATCATAATCAAGGTCGAGAGAATATCATGTGATTAGTCTAAGTATTGATGAAGCTGTAAATCCATGTGATTAATTTTCGAAAGGGATATTTTTTAGATTAGTGTTAAGGAAGATGCTAATGAGTTCAAGTTCGTAAAATTCGATTCAAACGTAACAGTTGGATTGACTCCGATCATTTTCTCAAATCTACGACAATTAACGAACTTATTTTGAATTCTCATGGTTTAATATGTTGATCCTGTAATTGTCCATCCCAGTTCTACAGTGGTAGCTTAATACATCCAGTTTTCTATCAATAGATCACTGTTTCCAAACTTAGTTCACCAATTCGAGCATGTGTTGCGAGGTAGTAACACTAATCTTCACATATATAGTGCCTCATACCTCAGTATATAAATTCCTGGTTTGGTAAGTAATGGTTCTTCTTTTACATAGCCGACTTGCTCTTGTCACACCATGTGGGACCAGGTCTCCAACACACAGTCCTGGGCCCTCCTCTTCAGTTGTTCCTAAGCGCTTTTCATTCTTTTGATATGAACTTGGAATTACTGACGCAATGTATCCTTCGGTCTTTCTCTCTTCCTTTCACCATTACGGAATTAATCATATCCGAACACCTCGATTCCATTATCACTGGCCAAGTAGAACGCTGCAGCAAATTTTGCAATCATTTTTCACTTCTAACCAAATTCATCGTTGTTGAATTGTATCCAATTAGTATCGTTGGTCCATATTATTAAGAAGTCTCAAATTACTGTGAATATATTTGCTCTTCTTCATGTAGTTTTATGGTTCCCTGATTGGCGTCAGTTTCTAAGGAAATCCTCACAAACTATCCACGTAACTGCTAAAATTCCTTCTCACTGGTAACCATCCTTATGTTGATTATCTCAAAGCTTCAGTAGAAATACCAGATCTGTCGTGTAAACCAAATAGGTATCAAAACATTCGGTGAAAGTCACGCTATATCACGGAATTATTGCTAGTGAAATAAGTAATACAGTATTCTGACTCAATAATTTGAGGGCTTTTGTTTGTTAAGAGATTTAAAGATCGTGATCTATATATTGTATAGAGTTGTAAGTGTACACCACTGCTAAAACAAACTAGGACAGGATGACTCCCCAATGTTCTATGATAGGTATAAAGAAAACTGTCACCATGCCAACTATTTATTTACATTCACCGCATATTGTAATTGGTCTTTCTTTAAGGAGTTAGTATTAAAAAAGTGTTTGAGGAAATAAAAATCAAAAGCTCGGCAGTTTATTTTTTGATGGGTTCGAGTAGTTCCGAGTCCGAATCCCGGTCGAGTTGGAGGCTTCGCTGAATTTCTTCCGATGACCCATCACATTCCCTTAGATACTTTGATTTATTTTATATAGCTTATTATTTCTTTGCATTTTGTGTTTTTGTAATTACCCTAGTGTTTTTTTTTTTAAATTTTAACTTATACAAGTGATTCAAAGTATCTGGATAGTCTTTCCGATGCTCTGATTGCTAGTTTGATGTATGAATTCTACATATATAATCAATTATTGCTGCAAACATTAATTACGTCAGTAAATTCATCATTATTCGCGTAGGCAGTTTCACAATAGACAAACAAACAAAAAATATTTTCTTTAAAAGTTGTATGTCTATTAACTAGGATTAATGAGACTGAGCCAAGTAAGTAGTTCTTTACAAAATTCAATTGACTAATTCATTATCATACTGTGTAGTACATAATTTCATTCATTCATCATTTACATAGACTATATATATATATATATAAATCATATTTCGATTACTTTCGTCGCGGATGCCAATTTATAAATGAATCAAGTCATTATAATCTTCTCAACCAATCAGATTTCAAGAAGTGTTTTACTGATTTATGATTGGTTAAATTAGTTGTGATTTGATTGGTTAATACAATAATATATTAAGAATAAATTTGAATGAAATTCAAACTTTAAAAAGTAAAATGAATTATTCATCATATCAAATATGTTTATGCTCATTTCATATAATAAATATTTTAATGGAATATTTTATAAAATATAAATTTAAAATTGAATGTATCATTCATGATATTACTGATTATAAACAACATATTTATTCTATTGATAGTGAATTACATGAAAGGTAAATGAAATATCGATTTTATATTGATTTAATGATTATTGATAAGAGTAATCAAATTTCAGAAGGGGTTTTTTGTGTAGATATTATAGCCATTTCAATGGTTGAATTCATGAGTCGAATGAAGTTAGACCACCATGGAAAATCTGGAACTTGTGGTGTCAGTTATTATGGCAAGCCCATGTACCTTATTCTAACTTCCGGACATCCTATTTTATTCATTTTACTTGAGCCATATTTTGACCTTGTCAATTATTCGCTTGTCAGTCTTGACTGTTTTTTTTATATGAGCGTATATGAGTGTACACTTCATGTCCCATGATTCATTGTATGTCTGTAGCTTATTTTGTCTGCCTATAAATATGGAATAACACTTGACTAAAATGGAGTTGGCTTTCCAGCCATCTTCCCTGTGCGTCATTTTGCTTGGCTCTGTTTCATTCACTTCATATGCAAAATATATGTATTGAAATGCCGTTCTCGTTAATTGACTTATTTAATTCCGTTATGGACTAACGCGATCTAAGTCGACGATGATAAACGAGAATAGGTGATAACAAACATTCATACAATCTAAATGGAGTCAGATTCACTGGCCACTAAAAACTACTGGATGGCCGTTTCGTCCTAGTATGCGACTATTCAGCAGTGTACATCCATAATCCCGCGCTCGCGAGATCTGAACCCAAGACCTATCGGTCTCACGCACAGATACTTAACCTCTAGACCACTGAGGTATGCAACGGTGTTAATGTCTTACTTCAACCAATCCACAAAATTGAGCGATACATCCAACATTGTCATCAGTGAGTTAATATTTCACAACAGACCTGGTTGAAATTCACTGATCATTGCTTCTCACTAGAACTCCAGGAAACAAATATTGAAGTCATTCACTAGTGAGCACATGATCATTATTATCAGAAGGGGGGTTTTGTGGAGATCTTAGTAATTTTGTAGTGGAATTCATGAGTCAATTGATTTTAGATCACCATGGAAAACCTGGAAGCACTGGACGGCCGTTTCGTCCTAGTATGGGACTATTCAGCAGTGCCTATCCACGACCCCTCACACGGGGCTTGAATCTAGGATCTACTGGTCAGTGCTGCAGTTTCGTGGATTGTTTGAAGCTAGATATTAACACCGTTGGATGCCGAATTACTGGTCTAGATATTTAGCGCGAGCCTGATAGGTCCTGGGAGTGGTAATGGGTGAGTGCTGCTGCGGAATCCCGTACTAGAACGAAAGGGCCGTCCAGTGCTTCCAGGTATTCCATGGTGGTTTAGCTTCAATTGACTCATGAATTCGACTATAAAATTACAAACAAGTCAATTCAGGCATTCAGCTAGTAAACAGCGCTTTGTAGTCTCCAAAACTAGTTCATCATGAATAATAATGTTTCTCTTACAGTATGTTCTTCAGTGCTTAGGCTATGGTGTGAAATAAAAATTAAAAAAGGAGTTTCTGCCACACGTTTTTCTTTATGATTTTGTTTCCGTTGGTTTTAAGGAAAGTTTTCTGATGAACACTTTAATTTGTTTATTCGTTTGTTGATTAAATCTGTTGAGATTCAGTTTATTTCGTCAGATCAACTCTATGAATGTCTGCTAGGTGAATTTTATTCTGTTATAGACTTACGATACTTGAAATGAATGGGTAATTGTCGTGGTTTTTATTTGATCCCCTCCTTTGAGTAGCCAAGTTTTCAAAAAATTTTTAATAAGCATTGGATTCCAAACGGATTTACTTGTTAAGCAATCACTTTTATATGCATGTACGAAATTATTAAACCAATGAAGACAGTTTATGAATAATGTGATGACAAGTGTACTGGTTGTGATAAAGAAAACTAATAGGAATACGTCAAATAACATTAAGTGACTTATTTCTGTTTACTACATGACCGCTACCGATCAATGTGAAAGACCCGAGCTTCGTATTGTCTTGACAGTGCCTCTTCTTACCACGAAGGGAGGTGTTCACTGACTTTTTGGACCAGTTGTCTGGTAGTGCGCCCAATATAGCTTTCTCCACAGGACCAGTTGAATTCGTAAACAAACATAGAAGTGGCATAACCAGGTAACTTATCCTTTAGTTAGGAAATCACCATAGATCGTGTCGAGTACGATAGACCGAGGTTTGCTGCATTAAACGTTCTCTTCACTGCTCTAGCCAATCTATCACGTAGTACATCACCAACTATATCTATATTGAATTATAGCTTCATGAAGAGAGGTTTCTTACTAGCAGTTAATGTCACTATTTTCTTGTTTGTTACACTCAACTGTTTCTTGAAGAGTCCATGTGGATAACCAAATTCAATCAACATATTGTGTATGAACTCTAATTCCTTATCAATTGTATCGACTGAACATATCTTAATAGCTCTATTTATCAGACATTTGACTAAGTTTCTCTTATAATGAAGGGGTACAAAGCTTGAGAAATGTGTATATTGTCTTGATGAACAACGTTTTCTATATTACTGTATATTAGAGTAAAGCTTGATGAGGATCTAATCGAAAACAATATTGTTCGCTTATATCTATGTTGTTCTATATTCATAATTGTATCATTATGTAACGAATTATTCATTCAAATCAATGAATAATGTAATTCATGTATTACATTGATTTCCTCTTTGATAAATCTAAATAGAGACAGATGAATAAATGTATGATGTGTTTATTCTTCTAGCTTTTTTCTGAATGATTTGATTACATACATCAACAGATCAAGTAACCAGGTAATACGAATGAACGTCAATGCAAAGTTCATAGACGATTGACATGATATTTTTAAACAAAGATGGATAATGGCTAGCAGTGGAATCCAGGATGTGCCTTTAATCCTATTTGCGACTCGTCAGCTGGATGTACCCGCATCACAGAGTTGATGTTCACTCTGGGGCTCGAACCGACCACCGTTCACTTTAAATGCCATAGAGTTATTCATCTAGCTACTAAGTCCTGATAGCCACCTGCTTGTGGGAAGATACAAGTAAAATAACACCAAGTGAATTTGTTATGATATTTGTTGTAGAGTGGGAATTTTTTTATTTGAAGTGGTTTTGTGTGTGTGTGGGTGTGGGGGTCCGACTATTAAGTAGGTTATATTTAGGGTACCATTAAAAACTATGATACTCTAGACTACTGTTTCATGATATAACCCAAGATGTTCTGAAATTTCAATTGAAAAGTCTTAAACGACAAAGGTACAGGGATTAAAATATCTGTTAATATTAGTTTTGATCATCATTCTGTTTGTCGAATTCATCCAAGTTGAAGTTGTATCATTAGATAGATGCTCAATATTACTAAAGGTTAAACATATTTTACGAAACCTGAAGACGCTGAGTTCGATTCACGATGATGTTGAAGATGAACACTGCCGAGGGACCAAATGTCAGAATGAAAAACCTGTGACCTGGTTACCCGTCTAACTAAATATCCCCTAATCACTTTCATGTAGGTACAAAACTACAATGAATTAACCGTACAACACTTATCTCTGTCTCTCTTGTAATGATTTATCAGATAAAATTGCTTATCTCATATTGTAAAATACCTCAGCTAAGTAATCCTTTATTATTGTTATTATTATTTATGGTAGACTTCATATAGTATGGTTGGGATATTTTTATGAATTATATGTACAACCAGATTCTTTATATGGAATAATGTGGATATTTAGTCCATTGAATGATAATTCACAAATTATAAAAACTAATCTTATATGGTCAAAGAAAATTCCAGCAAAATTTCGATTTCATTGTTCTGTAAGTTATTTTATACTCATACTACTTATATTATGCTTATGTAAGAGGATAATGATATTACGTAATGATCAATGAATGATGGGACTATAATTTATGGACGACCTTTGAGTGACGCTAAAGTGACCTTGAGGGTATTCACCTAGTAACTAGAACTAAATGAAGGTTATAAAACAGTATGAGGAATTAGAATTATGATTTACAGTTGATGATTAAGGTTATGAATTAGATTTAGGGTTTTCATCACAAATTGACATTAGCCATAATACCAAAACTCTATTTAGCCAAATGGATGAGTGAATCTTGCGCCAAAATCCGAGATCTGTTATCTTATACAAGATTGATTCGTCCATAAATTATAGTCTTGCCCAATTAATTGTAAATTTATATGTCAGTATTTTAATAGGTTCATTGAGGTCAGAATATCTCAATGTTAACAACTTAGACTATGAAGGTGATTGAGACAGGTTTGAATTGGATTTCATACAACGATGTAATTATACCTCACTAATAAATACTAACTAATGAAATCTCAGTCTTGGGTTTCTTTTGTCGACAACCATAAACTACTTAAAATCTCGGACTATTGAGAATATACATTGAATAGATCTAGATAATTTTGCATTGACATCACCGTAATCTAATTAGCTGATTCTTATACAGCTCATTACATAATAGATTAGGGAGAGATTTTATAAGAACTATGTTGTATTTATGGGCAAAACATTGTAAATTAAACATTGACAAAATATTACATTTACGCTGAATACTGTATCATAGTAACTAATTGTCTTAAATATTATCGAAATTGAAAATCGTCTTATTTCGAAATATTTCTTTATATGTAACATAGACATAGTCATATTGTAGTGAACGAGAACACACAAATGAGATCAACCGGATGTATGTGAATATAAAGTTATAGGAAGTCAGTCGCGTCGCGCATAGCTCAATGTTAACGTCTTTGACTGTGAAGCTGTGTGACACGGATTTGAATTTGTCTGGAAGCATCAGTCCCCTCATGATTACAGATACAACTTACTGACGAGTGCCTAGTAGCACGAAACCTAGGTCCATGATTACCTGTTGACTACCTCCGACCACCATCTTATCTCAACATAGTACACGCAATGTTGACTCACTTAGACTACTGGCCACATTACAGTTTGGTTGATAGGATCTGACTTACATGACATTGATCATCACCCAGTGAATAATCAGTTGTAAATTACAGAATCTCTTGGCAAAATCTGATAACCATACAGTGAATACTTTATTTGCAAAATGTCAATCAACCTTGACTGTTCCTTCGTTTCCACATTAACCAATCTCTCTATCTTCGTTCTCTCTCTCTCTCTCTCTTCCGATCTTCTTAACCTTCTGCCGCCAGACATATCACTTTTAATTGATGATACATACTACTGATATCTATCGATATCAATAGCACATATCACAACAATATTAATATTTAAATGAATAATGCCAAATTTTCATTATAAAAACATCATTTATCATTGATAAAGTACATTATTAGATAAGATTGTTTAAATAATCCATACTGATACCTTAGTGATTTTAATTCTTTTCATTAAAATAGTACATTATTATTATTATTATTATTATTCAATGTACTGTTAAATAAGATTCATATTGAATGCTTTTACATTCAATGAATCATAATTATTAAGTTATTAGTCTATTTAGAAGAAAATGTGATCTTCATTTTTGTGATAAGGAAGTAATAATTGATGTACTTTTAACAAGAATGAGTCTCAGAAGACGAAGAAGAAGAAGAGGAAGAAAAGGGGAAGAAAAGAGGAAGAGGAAGAAGAGGAAGAGGGAGAGGAAGAAGAGGAAGAAAAAAGGAAGGAGTAGAGGAAGAAGAAAAGAAGAAGAAGAAAAAGAAAAGGAAAAGAAGATAATGAGGATTTAATTATAGCTACAAGATTTAAAATTATATAAAATCAATAACACTATTTATAGTAATCAGTAGTTTGTTACTCAATGTAATGGAATTCAGCTAATGAGTACATTTTGAGTGAGTAGATGATAGCTTAATGTCATGATAGTGATAACTCTCTTATAATCAATGTTGATTATAATTAAGCTCTTTTATTAACTTACTTAACAGACAATTGTATTCGAACAGTAGCAAGTCGTCTATTACTATGTGCTATTATGATCACACTATCATAATTGTATAAACGTGTATGCTTGATTAGTTGTGATGTCCTACGCACATATCTCTCTCTAGCTTAAATGTTAATCGCTTAATTATTGCTTCATGAATCATTCTCTTTCCCATGTATATTATATGTACTCCAATCCTATTATTAGATTTCACCTAGGTGCCTAGCTGCATCTTATTCGATCTGACTATTAATTTGCCTTTGTATTTACTCACATACACATACACACACATTCGCCTACCTGCTTCAAATTCGCTTGATGTATTTGTAGCTTTGTGATACGTGCTATCCGTTAATAAACTGTATTCGCCGCTTGTTATTGCATTCTGATTTCAAATTTATATAATAACGGTTATCAAAGGTGGTTGATTAACGAAGTTAAGCCACTATATCTTATCATAACAGATCAACAGTAGGATATATGTGTATTAAACTAATTAGTTCTAAGTAAAATGCAATATGCATTCCACTTTCTACTCCTCATCATTATAGGGAAGATCTGTTTATGTAAATTTAAAGTGACATAAAATCCATACATTACTAAACAATGTTAAACAATTATTATGGTCTATACACTGATGGATTTCTTAAAAACATCTCAACATTGTAATTATTATTAATTGAGATCTTCCTAAACCAGTCGACCATCCGAAGAAAAAGGAGAGAGAAAGCAGTCTTCTCTGTCTCCGGTCCTCATTTGGAATACATCTGTCCATGCACGACCTTTCAGTTTGGTCCGTCATATGAATTCGGTACGATGTTGACGATTTTCTCGGCTACTCACTTCATAGTGTTGAATAAGTTCCCACAATGTTCTCCTATCCACACTGTCAAATGGTTTCTCATAATCAAGGAAGTTAATGTTTAATGAGGATTTCGATTGTTCAACGATGATCCGTAGTGTCGCGATTTGATCTGTGCACAACTGAACCTTATAGAATCCAACCTGCTGCTTCAGTGTGCGGTGGGTTCAATATAGTTGGTCTATTCAAGAGTTCCTCGAAGCATTCTATCCATTTGTCCTTGAATCTCAATGATTGACTTGACTCTTTCTTTTCCTTGATCGGTCCCTCTGGTTTAATATATTTCCCTACCAGTTTCTTCATGATATTGTACAGTTGTCTGATAAATATCCATTCAACTGATCGCTGTTTGCTGAATAGAATAGCTTATGAAACTAAAAGGAGCATAGATTATCCAAATACAAAGTTTAAAAAATGAAGTATACTTCAAATATTATACACGTAATTCAAGTGGATAACAACTAACATTTCGGTCTACTAAAATGTTAGGGAGATATAGGTTATCAGTCTCCTTATTACTTACTTACTTACTTTCTTACTTGCTTACGCCTGTTACTCCTCATGAAGGAGCATAGGTCACTCACCATCATTCTTCAACCAACCCTGTTCTGGGCATTCCTTCCCAGCTCTTACCAGTTGTTGTTTATCCTCTTCATATCTGATTCTGTTTACCGTGGTAATGTGTTTATTGGCCTTCCAGTTTTCCGCTTCCCTTCAGGATTCCAAGTTATGGTTTACCTCGTGATGTGGTTTGATGATTTGTGTAATGTATGTCCTATCCATTTCCATCGTCTTTTCCTAATTTCTTTTTCAGCTGGAAGTTGGTTTGTTCTCTCCCACAAAAGGCTATTGCTGATGGTATCCGGCCAATGGATGTTGAGTATCTTGCGTACACAGCTATTCATAAATACTTGTACTTTCTTGATTGTGGTTGTTGTAGTTCTCCAAGTTTCAGCTCCATACAGTAGAACTGCCTTGACGTTGGTGTTGAAGATTCTCACTTTGATATTGGTTGAAAGTTGTATCGAGTTCCATATGTTCTTCAATTGTAGGAAGTTTCCTTATTAACACAAACTGTTTATCATAATTTGTATTACAAGTTTTTATCTTTTCGTTACTCCATCTATACTATTTCTTCTTTGTTCTTACCTTATTACATATATAATAACGTGAATTATCTTTAAATCGCCCATCAAATTCACTTGGTATTGTTTACTTGTATCTTCCTGTTGTTGTCTAGGATTGTAATTGGTCGGTCTCTTATTGACATATTTGAATTCTATACAGACTGTATCGTTATTGCCTTCAGTCACTTACATCTTGGAAATCTCTTGTTTCATCTGTTTATAAAGTTTTACAGTTTATCTATCAATAAGTGCAATGATTTGCCTTTTGTTTTTTTAATTAAATAATTTATACTACTTAAATTCTATTTTAGTATTGCAATCATATATGGACATCGAAAAAAGGATATATTAATATATTTATTGGTCATCGTCCATTAAACAGAATAATTCATCAATCCGGTTATATAATTAATATTTATGAATTTCTATTCTCTTTAGATCAACAGAAATGTACTCAATGTAATTCGAATAAATTAATTTCAGGATCAACATATCCACATGAAGTGATAAAAGTAAGTGAAATAATATGGAAATAACTTTTATGATTTCTATGATTATAAAATGTTAATAAACGGTTCTATAGAAATTGTTGAATATGAAGTACCACATCAAAGACTAATGTCACTTAGAACAAATGTTGAAAACCAAGAGGAGCTGAGTAACCATTCCATCCTTGTATGGGGCCCCTTACCAGTGAACAACCACGACCCTGCTGAGGACTTTCAGCGATCATGGTGGACACTTAACTTATTGACCACCAAGTTGTCATCTGATGGTTTACATTTCCAAATTAAATTGTTTTGCAATATTGCATGATGATTACCTATTAACACTAGTAATATTTATCTCAAATCCAACATGACTGAACCCCACTGTACACTGCGTCTTACTATAACTCTTGGAATTTATTGAGTCAATCATTAGCAAACACAAGGTAATTGTTATCGTAAAGTGTTTTGGAGACTAATGATATTGAAATTTCACGACAAGGAGTGACATTATTACACACACATCAATAAATTCATGTTATATGAAAAGACTGTTTCAAGGAAGAAAATTTTTAAAGTATAATTTACTTATCCCGCTTCATTAGTTAATGATCAACCAGTATTTGTGTTATATCCGAGCCAAGATTAAATCACGAGTAACGTCTGAAATATATTAATTGACTAATGTTATCTCTACATTCTTATGGTGTTGGTGTTCTGGACTCAAGTGGACGGGCTAGGCGTATATGGGACCAATAAGGACGCTAGGCTGCCCATACCGGTCGAAAGTCACTGATTTGGCACAGTGCTAAGATTGTATAAGTCATATTTTGATTGATAGATAAATCACGTTAGAAAAAGCCGGACATAAAGTCACAACAGTTTGCTAATATTTTTCCCAAATTAGAATTATTCAGTAGGTAATTTTTTAAGTAGTTTCTTTCTGTTCAAAATGAGTTTTTCAACGGTTAAGGATTAACTAGTTGGAAACCTGCTTGATAATATCGATTTCAAATAGTTTTTGCAGTGTATTCTACTAATGGAAAACTTGAAATTCAAAATTGTTTTCGTTATATGAAATAGTCTTAATCCTTGTAGTCGTTATTGGTCAACTTTTAATAGTTGAAGGTGATTAACACGAAGTTCTGAATACCTTAAGTTTTTTACTCTTGAAAGATTTTCAGCAAGAAAGAAACTAGTGCATTCTGTCACGTTCCATTGAAACAGTTAGAACTGTATCACGTATGGTTATTCAAAACGCATGTTAGTATAGTGTGCAACTTCTTCATTGATCATTGATGATCAAGAACTATACAATCAACCTTTAATATCCATAACTTAAATGTACGTACGGTGGGACTATAATTTATGTACGACATTTGAGTGACGATAAATTGACCTTGATAATGTTCAACTGCTAACTAGGACCAAATGAGGGTTATAAATCAGTCAGAGAAATTAGAGTTATGATTTACAGATGATGGTCAAGGTTAGGGATTAGATATAAAGTTTTAATCATGAACTGACATGAGCTAAAATCGTAAAACGCTCTATAATCAAATGGATGAATGAATTTCGTGCCAAAATCGAAGACATGTTATTTTATCACTCATTAGTTCGTTCATAAATTTTTGTTAAAACTTGATCACAATATCGTTGAAGTTGCAAACGTAAATCATCGGATACCAACTCAGTGGTCTAAGATTTATAAGCGTTTACCACGAGGATTGAAGGCTCTGAGTTTTATCCTTGGTGAGTTCATGTATCTGAGAACTGTAGAAATGTCTCGTGATAAGATGGAACAGATGTCCAGTGCATCTTACTTTGCAATCGTCGTCTAACTAAAGTCAGCTAGTAACATAAAATCACACTATTCTCATCAAAATGGAAGATCAGTTGATATACTTTGAGACATTCACATGTAAACCACTTCCTTACAACTTATGATTTTATTGCTAAAACAATTCTTTTTCAAACATACACCCGTTTTTTAGGTTTTAACATACATTCGAAATTATATTACTATTAAACCGATATATTTCAATACAACTCAATATGGATTCCAAATTGAATTTTTTAAAAATTCATTTACTTTTAATCAACAAAAGTCCATAAACAAAGAAACCATTAATTCTCAGATCGTATCCAATAGTAACGGTGAAACATTCAAAGAAATCTGCTCAACGAAAAACGATCAATTCTTTGATTCTTTGCAAAAGTCCAGTGAAATTTCAAAGTTCATTAAACATTCAAAAAATTACTCATTCAATGAAGAAAGTATCAAATGTAATCATTATACTTTATCTATTACTGAAGGAAAATCAACAGTACAATTACTAAAAGACAACAATCAAGAAGTTAATCTGACTAACAATAAATTAAATAACATCAGTAAGAACGATACAGATCTTTATTTAAACAAAGAACCGGTCAGTTTGAAATGCATTCCTAAACCTACTGAACTTGAATCTACAATAGTTGATGATTTAAAACAAACTGGAAATCAGATCAATAAGAAGATGTCAATTCGTGGATCGTGTTATGTTTGATATGGATTTGCTGACTCTGTTAAGATTTTACATTCTTAGTATATTCTTTTTTGTTCAACATTTATCATATTCCCATCTGAAGTTGTTTTACTATTAGCGCCATTCAAACATGGAATCAAAATTATTTTAAAGTGTAATAATTAGATATAAAGAAGAATTGAGAAACTTTTATTCAAATGTTCTCATTTCCCTAGTCATTGTCTATGTAGATAATAGTGTTATATCCTAGTGAAGATTACATTACGATTAACGTCTGGGACCTATTAATGGACTAGTATTATTTATATATTCTTATGGTATAACTATTCAGTAATTAGATTATGTATATCTATATTCCTCTTATTATAAGCTTTGGTTTGACCTATAATTTATTATTGTACGATTTACTGTTCTTAAGTTATGTTCAGTTTATTAAATACTGCCTCTCACGTTCACAGCCACTTTTTGGCTTCATTGTGTACAAATGTTATTTCTTATTTTATGGCGCGTTGCGGTCTGTTTGATCAATATATAAACCCAGTATGTCTGAAATAAATGATTCGATTCTATTCACAATGCAGAAGCTGCTGTTGTGTTCTGTACTCAAGTGGACGGGCTAGGCGGACATAGGACCAATAAGGACGCTAGGCTGCTCATGCTGCTCGAACGTCATTGGTTTGGCACTGTGTGAAGGTTGTATAAGTCGTATTTTGATTGGTGAATAAATTACGTGGTAAAAGTCGGACATAAAATCATAACAAATAGATGATTAATTATCATCATATTCTGTTTTCCTAATAGTTATAGTTTCTCATAATGAACTGTTGATTGTTCTTAAATTTCTTCTGTTATATTACTGCTCAATTTCAATTGATTCTTTACACTTTAATTTTTTCGTTTGCTTTACTGATTTCTCACAGGTTAAATGTTAGATGATGACTTTTTATGATTAACATTATTTGGTATCTGGTTTACATTATTGCAAAAAGTACCAGTCAACAATAGATATCAGTTTTCGAAACGATGAAATCTATTTTTGTGCCTTGAAAATTGAAATAAAGCATAAAATACTTGGGAAGATGCCACAGGTATTCGGAGTTTGACAACACTTTAACCAGTAACACCTAATATGAATCGTACCCACCAAGTGAAATCAAAAGACAGAAGCGAAGAGGTCCGAAGATATATTTGATAGGCTATCGATATATCGAGGATCGTCTGATGTAATCTGGCTAGCGATTTCATGGGTTGTTGAGCACGTCGTTCCAACTTGTGAATTGGTGCGGAGGCATAACCGAGCGCCTTCAGCTAGGTGAGTCCATTAAAACTAATGTGGTCAGCATCCAATATCGAAGACCTACAGAGCTATTTGTTTTGGGGATTTATTTACCGCTACACTTGAGCTACCTGTTCCTATCATCTGGATATTTTCAAGAAGTTATCTGTTTTCTTATTTGTTTTAACACATCGTTATGATCATTAGTCGCCTAACCTATAGAGGAGCGTTTGTGAAACGTTTGAGACATTTTGTTGCATAAGTTACAGAAAGAAGAATCAGAAATATTGCGATTGCGGCAATATGCATAGAAAAGAATGTACATTATTCAAATGACAGTTCCTGAAATGCTAACATTTAGTTGGTGATCACTCAATATTTATCGTCAGTGTAGATCAAGAAATAAGGGAAGGAAACTTGTTGAAATATTTTGTGCTGAGAATTCTGCATTGTACCAAAAATGTATTGAATAAAGACAATAATAATATTTAATGCATGAACTAGTTTACTTCATGGGTTTTTTAATCACTTCAACGTTGAATGTAATTGTACCCTTCCATAATATTCTTAAGTTGTCGACCTATTACATTTATTAGGACTCTTGGCCAAATATATATTGGCGAAACAGTCTCGCCTGTAGCTTCAATATATAACCGTTTATTTATTGAGGAATACCACAAACTAGATCGTAAAACTTAGTCAAGTACTTTTCATTTCTTATATTTTGAAAATATCACGAATATTCAGTACTTGATATCGTTTTTGTTATTAACATTGGTTATCGATGATCCTAAAGCCAATAAAACTAGAGCTCAGCAATAAAATGTTTTGAAGCTATATTCTGAGGATGGTCGATGTGTCGAGAAGTAACTCCTGAGAATGCACTGTCAAAGCGTACGTAATAATATATATATATATATATATATATATATATCTGTGTAGTTGCAGTCATATTAATTGTCACGTACTGTCCTCCAGGTTGCCATACTGAATTCTTCATCCATAATCAAATTTCTGATAAACTCAACTGAAGTGAGTTTCAGTATTTCGCCAGTCAAAGCATATGTGTATTTCCAGGTGTTTCGGATACGTCGCCTGTTTCCTTCTTTAAACTGCACCTCGATCCTTCCTTAGTAGAAAATACCTTTCGTTTGACAAGTGACCGGTCCATGTTTTTGACGACTGGACAACTTTATATATTACGGGTCTTTTGTATAAACTGTTATGAGAGTTAATGAATGTGCCTGTTGGAGACACTACTTAACTCTTTTTATACAGACATTTAATTCTTTGAAAGAACTTTTGTACGCCTCAATATCATGTTCGTATTTTTAATTTTTTACCACTTACTACCATATCATGCAGTAAGACCGAAAAAACAGTAAACTTTGGAGCCAGCAAGATATGACTACTGAAATTCGTAAAATCCTTGGTTGCACGGCAAGTTCTAAATCGATGGTGGTATATTTGCTATATTAAAAAGTTTGCTATGTTGTCAACGATGCTCGTTAGGTTTTTAAAATACGACACTTTGGGCAATGACTTTTTCTTGTTGACAGAGATGAAATGATTCTATCAATTAACTTAATTTGGTACTCCTTCCTTGTGTATACTCATCGACTTAAATCATGTTAGTGAATGACGCAACTTAATAAGTAATATATGAGAATGGATGTTTGAAAACATAGATTTTGTACAGGCAATGATCTGGACAGACAGTCAGAGGAATGAAGCGAAGAGAAGAAAGCAAAGTGAAATAACATGCGAAGGAGTAGGCTCGTGAGCCACCTGATTTAATCAAGAGTTAATCATTATTTACAGTCAGGTTATAGACATGTGATTAATGGGATAAGAGGTGAACACACATGCGCTCAAATAAAAACAGTCAGGGTAGACAAGTGAATGATTACCAAGTTCAAAATGTGGATCAAGAATGAACAAACTGTCTTTTCTAAAAGCTGTAATAAGCTATGTGGGCTTCACATGGCAACCGACACTAGAGTTAATATAGAACCAAAATCAACTTGGTCAATTTTAAAATTACTTAGTGATTAATTGGCATCTGATATGCCCTCACTTTTCTCGTCCTCAAAAGCACAGAATTTACGAAGACGCTATAAAAGTATTTGCAAACACAGAACGAATTACTTGTTAGCTGACTATCGAATTTCCCACATTCACCAACAAATGAAACTCATTGCATCAACACGTCATTGAAGCTCCATCTATCAACGTTTTCAAAACGAAGTTGAATCAATTCAAATGGTTCAAATGGTTCAAATGGTTGTGGACGGAATAGAAGAAGCTTTCGCTTAACAGGCTTCCGTGTCTAGTAGCAGGGGATCACCAAATCCTCCAGGCAGGAACCTAGGTATGTTAACAATAAAAGAGGAAAGGAAATTGGTAAATCATAGTTTGATGCTGTCCTTGGTTCTTAAGAATAGGTCAAGTTGCCTCTTGAAGGACTCCTGAGAAGTCGCTTGGACTAGCTCGGCCGGCAGCGAATTCCAGCTTTTGACAACTCTTAAGGAGTAGAAGTTGTGTCTACATTCCGTCTTGCTATGTTGTGTTTCCAGTTTCTGGGTGTTACCCCTTAGGTTATTATTCGAACTAAGCTTAAGTAGGTGTTTAAGAGGATGTCCAGAAGTGTTAAGAATACTATAAGCCATTAATAAATCACCTCTAAGACGCCTATATTCTAGTGGGTAAAGGTCTAGTGAATGGAGGCGTTCTTCGTAAGGCTAAGATTTGAGTCCTCGAACTGATTTCGTGGCTCGCCGTTGGATACGCTCCAAAGTGACCTTGTCCTTTTGGAGTGAGGGGGGAGTACTATGTTTCCGTACTCTAAATGGGGACGGATGAAACTATTGAAGATTGTGTGGAAAGTTTGTCCGTCAAACTGTCCAAAAATGCGCTTCAACGTTACCAGTGCAAGGTTTGCTCGGAAGGCATTTTTGTCACAGTTAGCGTAAGACTCTAAGTCATGGGGCACCAGGACTCCTAAATCTTTTTCGACTTGGGATACTACTAGAGAGGAGTTTCCTAAGTTGTAACTGTAGTTTGCAACATGTCGCAGATGGACTATTTTACACTTTGAAGTGTTAAAAATAAGTCCGTTATCGTCTGCTCAACTTTGAAGTCAAGTCAGATCCTCCTGAAGTGCCTGTATATCGTCTTGGTTGCGTATTTCTCTCCAAAGTTTCACGTCGTCGGCAAAAGTAATAAGTCTGACGTTACCTGTTGAGGAAGATCATTTATGTAGATCAAGAAGAGAAGAGGCCCTAGTACTGAGCCCTGGGGGACCCCACTAGGACATTCCATAGCCTGTGATAAAGTGAAATTGACCCTAACCTTAAAGTGTCGATTTTTTAGGTATGAAGTAAGCCAGTCGATTAGAGGTGGTCTGATACCCAATCGCTTGAGCTTGTTGATAAGACACAAGTGGTTAACCTTATCAAAAGCTTTTGAGAAATCAAGGTAAATGACATCAACCTTTCCCTTGCGATCGAGGATGCTTGTCCATCTGTCCACCGCAGTCAGCAGGTTGGTTATACAAGAGTAACCCTTCCTGAAACCATGCTGTTGGGGTGAGAAGAAATTTAAGGACAGTAGATAGTCATTTAAACCGTCGCATATCAGGGATTCCATGAGTTTTGAAGGTAATGACAGAAGAGCCACCGGCCGATAACTTGAAGGTTCGTTGCGTCGACCACCTTTGAAAATTGGTGTGATGTGAGCCAACTTCCAATTTTCCGGTAATTTGCCTCGGCTAAGCGAGTGTGCAAACATCACGCTAAGCGGCGTTGCCAGGATTGAGGCTGCCTCTCTCAGTATGGCAGGATGAACCATATCCGGGCCAGGAGAAGTGTCAAGTCTTAAGTGCTGCAATTTCCGGAACACCAAGTCAGCGCTTAGGTCCACTTCAGAAAGTCCTGTGGAATTGCAGATGAAACTGTCGTCAATAAAGTTGATGTCAGCCGGTTGAAATGTTTGAGAGTAATGTGCCGCCAGAAGGTTAGCGGCGTCGCCAT